CCATGTGAGGGCTTTAAAAATTAGTGTTGCATTTTCTTAATTTTTTCCTGCATGTTAAAAAATTCCAAAATGAAAGTAATTTTACAAAAAGAAAAATATCCTGCCCAAATATCCTTGCAAGTAGTGCATTGTTTGGCTAATATAAAAACTTAAATCAGAACAATGTAAGTTAATTTGCATTAGAAGAATGTTGAGGAAAACTGTCTACTTTTATTGATTCTGGACTTTTTACCATGATATACATTGGAATAAATTGTACTGGTCCTGTAAATGACATACCATGTTTAAACATCTGAGACCTGTGAATATGACCTCATTTGGGAAGAATGCCTTTGAAGATGCAATTACATTTAAGGACTTTGTGACCTGCTTACCCTGGATTTGGTTTGAAGCCAATGGCAGGTGTTCTTACAAGGAAAGGCATAAAAAAAATTGCTGACACACGGAAGACAACATCTAGGAGACGCCATCCTAAGAGAGGCAGGTGGAGTCATGTAACTTAAATCACGAGTCAGCAGGAGTTAATAGTTGACAGGGTCTTCTTGCAATAGTACCATTGTGTGTGTGTGTGTGTGTGTGTGTGTGTGTGTGTGTACCTTATGAAATAATTATATCACTGTATCTTATTCAAATATGACATGCTTGGTTTTTCAGCATCTGTTAACACCCAAGGACTAACTGGAAGGTTCAGTTTGTTATTTGAATAATACTCAAGGTTTCCTAGCTCTCTGTTAACCTTGGAGTGTTCTTATCTCAAAGACCTCCCAACACACCCACAATTTTTATCACTTAAGCAACACTGAGAAAAAGAGCTGTGAAGTGTGAGAACTCTAGATGATGTGGGCACACCAAGTGGCGGCAGATGACACAGCTCTCTGATTTGGAGTCCTATTCACTTTGAAGACAGCAATACAGAGACTCAAAATACTGACCAGATAATACAGACAGTAAAGTAATGTAGCAATCTGACTGCAAAACACAAGTAGAGAGAGGTTGACTATCATTCCACATTTTCACTTTTGCTGCTGGCTCTGTTGAAGGCCAAGCATGTACACACACATCTGCTTGGACTATAAATGGATAGGGTATATTCTGATAGGCTTTGGAGTAGCTTTTTAGAAGACACTGTCCCTTTGGTATGTTTGATATGCCTTGAGACTGAACACCTCTGAGAATACAACACCAAACTTGCTCAACTTTCTGCTGAGGGTTGTGTTAAAAACACAGTAGCTTATTTTTCCAAAGAACGGGATCTAGTGGTCAGTCTTCCCGTACCCTGTCATCTTCTGGCCCATTTCCTACCTCAGGAATTAGAAGAGCTACAGTAGAACAATGCATGCATCATAGTTTTGAGTAATTTTTAATGATGTGGGAAGATGGTGTGTGAACAAATAGAATTAAAAAAAAAACAGGGAAACTGGAGAGACAGTACAATTCAAATCTGTTTAGGCATATTATTTACATACCCAGACATTAAAAGGCAACTGAATTCTTTTCTCAAGAGTACTATCTATTGGGATTTCATGGCTTTCACTTTGTTAGCTGTTTTCAAGTGCATTTATTTATAACTAAAAATAAAACAATAATGCAACTTAACTGAAGTAATAGCTAGATGCTAAGAACCATCTTTGTGGAACAAGTACATTCAGAAATGGTTTGAAAAGGATATAAATTAATCCTGCAGCATTTTCCTTATATATTCAAGACTTTATCATCCTGATTCCTCCCAGTTATATTCCTTTCTTCCTATTGGAGCTTAAAAAGAAAAAAAAAAATGAGACAAGATTCACTGTGGACAAAGGAACCTAGTGAATTCTTCCTGGAATTCTGGCTCCTGACTCTTGGGACAAGAGGAATGCTGGACACCTTGTGTGTTCTGAAGAGTGGATCATTTAGTAGAGCTCTTACTGAAAAGAGAGGTGGGGTTTCCAGGATGCTACTTTTTTTTTCCCTTGAAATTACTTGAAGTCTGCTGGGAGTAATATAGAAAGGTTCAAACTCTGTGTGGCGAGGCGGCTAATTAAGAAGCTCTTTGAAGACAAGGACCTTTTTCTTCCTCATATTTATCTACACTGAGGGTAGGACAGTGTCTCGTACATAACGCCCTGTCGATGCTGAAATAAATAGAGAGACTGAAAGAGATTTCAAGTGTCTGGGGATGCAGTGCAGCAAACATCAGAACATGTAAATAAGCCTCATGTGTCAAAGGCCGTAAAATCTTCACAGGACTATTGGCCATAACGGATGGCTAGGTCTTGTTGAACACTAGGAAGAATGCAGTTTAGAAATGGAGACATCAGAAAGATGGTTTATATATGGGGTTATAATTTTATATTTTAAGTAAAAAATGTGCTCATTTGGTGGGGTCAGGTAGGAGTATGGGTACTGGAGGAGAGCTGTGTGGAGAGGAATAGGGGGGTTATGGCAAACATGGAGGAAGGGGTGTGAGTACAAGGGAAGGGGGTTTGGGTGCTAGGTGAGTTGGGAAGTGATGGTGTGGTCATGTAGAATGCCCCGACTAAATAACTGGTCTTCTTGTTTATTATTTAAAAGACAGAGCTATCTTTTAAATACTAGTGATAATCTTCATTGTCTCCAGAGCCTGTGACCATCTCTAATCCCTAAATATTAAAAAAAACCACAACATTATTTCATTTTCTTATAAACCAATTAAAAATGTCTTTTGAGGAGATCTTTTCTTTCCTTTTTTTTTTTTTTTTTTCTCTCTCAGTATTTGTTCCTCCAGGATTGTGTGGCCCTGGTGCTAATTACAAGCGTCATTTCTCCGGAAATCAGTCAAAAAATACATTAAAATGTTATCACTTCCAGAAAAAGAATCTGCATCACGCTGACATAAATTGCTCACGCGAGGCCAGGATGAGGGGGCGGTGAGCAGAGGACAAGAAGGGAGACCTCTCGAGCAAAGGCTCAGCCATTCGCTCCAATCCAGACAAGAGAATGCAGAGAAGATGCAGAAAGGGCACGCGTGTGCCAGGGCTTGCTCTGTGTGGACCCTCGTGGACATACCACGGCTATGCTGTGTGTGAGAGCACACACGTATGGAGAGAATGCTTTGCTTGTGAGGGCACACGTGTGTGTACTGTGGTGATTCTCTGTGTGAAGGCACACGTGTACCATGACTATATTGTATGTGTGAGAGCACATATGTGGGTATCAGAGCTATTTTTGTAGGGTACTCGTGCATGTACCGCAGTTATTCTTTGGGGGGGCAGGTATGTATACAGTGGCTATGTTCGTGTGTGAGGGCACACGTGTGTGACCGATGGCTAGCCTGGGGGGGGCAGTAACCTACCCATTCCTGCAGCTTGGGGAATCAAATGACCTGGACAAGTCTCTCATTCGAGTTTCAAGTTGTTCTCAAGACCTGGTGACCACACACAGCACTTGACGATTTTTATCAGTGAGTGGCAAAAGCAAGGGCATGTCCATCACGCATGGAGGGACTTCTCTGAGACTTGTAAATACAACATTCTCCTGACTCCCTTCAGCAAATCTTACCATAGCTCCTCAAAGTCTCCTCCCATATGCCATCCTCTAGCTGTGCGAACACAGCCATGCTGCAGCATGGCCCACAGGGTTGGTAAGATTTTATGGTATGAAACTGGCACGGACCCTTTCCTTTATTAGCCCTGTGACTCTGGATGACCACCTCCATCTGCAGTGCCTCAGCTCCCTGGATGGAGTAATGAGGGGTGACACTGTCAGCATCACAGGGTTATGGCCATGAGGACTAGATGACCTGATGGACCCTAAACGCTCAGCATAGCCTCTGGCAATAGAAAGGAGCCTACAAATGCAATAAGGTTAGCACTACAGAAAGCAGGCTGGGATTTCACTTGGTAAACTGACTTTTAAACAGTCATGAGATCCCTGGTTCCCACTTCCTACAAGGAAGCTCAGAGACAACCTGCTAACATGACCTTTAGGGAGCGTAAAGGTGACAAAGACACCAGCTGACGGACCAATTCAAACTCCGTTCATTAGAACATAATTTCCTGGTGTTGGTTACAGCTGCTGTCTTCTCGTGGACACTCTCTTCTTCCCTCTAAGCTCCTGGAGCCTACAGCTGAGAAGGTACGCATGCTAGAAGCCCCTTCCTCACTTGCTCACTAACAGAATGCCCCACAAAGGACAGATCCGATCCAAAGAGCACCACTTCCTTTCCTTTGCCTCATTTCCTGCAAAGTAAAACATCCCCCTCCCCCCATGGGCTTAGAATTAACATACTTGGATTAACTAAGCAAATCATTACCAGAGATGTGATTTTATACGAAGACTATTTCAGGGTAATCATAAAACATCTGGGTGGTGTCTGTTAATATATAAAACCACCTAACATAGGTAGTATGAGCCAACTAGGTGGAAAATTCGGATTGCATGTAGCGTGCAGTCAGCACAGAGCACAGAAGCCATCAGCACTGTGGTCGTTAGACCTGTTGGAGACAGTTTATGAACGGTGACCCACACAGCGCCTTGACTTCCTCTTGGCCACTGATTACCAACTAGCTGTAGGTAATCGAACAGTTATTGACTGCTGACCTGTTAGCTGGCAAGCCCTCTGCCCACGCATTTATTTTATTTAGAAAACTCTGGTCTAGGATAACTTCTACCAAGAAGAGTCCAAAAGCCAATTAACGCCTAAATGTGAACCTTCCTCCCTGGAGCCCCATCTCTCTCAGACCTGGAAACTAGGAATATGAATATCTCTATTCAAACATTATAGTTAATATTGAGTTCATCTTCTCTACGTTCAGTGTGTGTACCAAACCATGGCTCATTTGACTAGAGCTGCTGAGATTGCCAAAATTCATTTACAGCTGGATAACAAAGAAGTCGGAAGATGAGAATTTTTACAAACATAATTAATTGTGTTAATTATTGAAGCCCAATTTTTACCTTATTTGAAAAATTAATATTTGTTCCATGTCTTTTCCTTCATATAAAAAGAAATGAATTTGCTCCATGTAAAACTTGGAGAGAACAGTTTTCTGCTAATGTATTTAATGAGCATATACATACATACACACAGACACATGCATATATACACATATCCAGAATACGCTCTGGGCTGATGCTGGCTCTTACTCTTCCGGTCCTAGTGTACCTTCTGGGAGGTTCTATTGCATTCATACACTGAGCCTCAGTCTAGAGCTAAAACAAAAAAAAACAAACAAAAAAAAAACAGTAGAGAGTCTCTCCTTGGGCAACAGCTCAGGCATCACGCCGAAGTGTTAGTTTAAGGCAATTTTGAGGCACAATCTAACTGGCTTTAATCCAAATGTTACTGGCTAAGGGTTCTTTTAGGTGAGCAAGGAGCACATTCCCTTCATATGGCGCCGCTGAGTCCACCCTTGCCTCCAGCCTCCTTCTCAGGACACAAATACAAGGCCCCTCGGAGCGGATTTGCTTCTGGCAGCCCAGGATTCTCCTGGGTCAGTCTTTCTGTGGGTCCTGGAGAGTTCTCCCTCCAGCTGGGACTGGCATGTGGCTGGGAGACTTCCCATATGGAAGCGCACTGAGGAGGAAAGCCCACAGCAGGCCGGGCCAGCCTGTCTTCTTGAAGGCTCACTTCCTGAAGGCACCGATTAGAGAGCACTTCCTTTTCTTTGGAATTCCGCCACTTCATCCTTCTGTTCTGGAACCAAATCTTCACCTATTGATAAAATAATAGGGGCAGGGGGACAAAACACTTATCCCAGATGCAGCACTTTGAGTAGAGCCTCGTACACTCTAGGCAAACACATATTCACTCCTTCAGCATCTTCAACTGTCCACTGCTTCTACTGTACATGCCACAGAATTCCTTACTCTGTGAGCCTACCCAGATGGTGCCTTTATCTGTGGGTTCCTTCAAAAGGACCCGGGAGATCAACATGACCTCACATGTACTCTCCCAAACAGAATGAGTACAGTCTACTGATCACATTCTGGTGATCTTCTGAAATTAGTTTAAAGTCTTTTAAAACATAATTTAACCTATGCTAATACATTTATTCAAGAAAAATTGACTAGTATGGCACCTGCTTGTTTTGATTTGGGGATATTATATTTGGTTGGTTGGTTGGCATGGGGAAGGGTGTGGTGTGTGTGTGTGTGTATGTGTGTATGTGTGTGTGCATGTGTATCACAGGGTGTTCTATGTGTATGTTGTATGTGTGTATGTCTGCATGTGTGCTGTTTGTGTGTGTATGTGGTGTGTGTATATGTGGGAACTATATGTGGACTTCATGGTTTGATGAAATCTTTATTTCACATCTAAGGAAGCTGAGGTTTGTACGAATTAGCCAACTCAAGACATACAGCAGAACAAAATGAAGACCTTCAGGCCCTGGTATTAACATGCACACTCACCACAAGCTTTCTAACACTGAATTAACAATACATTTTGCAATGCTTTGATAAAAGTGGGCTTTATACAGCTTCCAAGTTTTGATTACTCCCAGGGTTATCAAACCATGGTAATTAGCCTCGATAAATAACAATTGGTTGTAATTAGCCTGGAGGTGCTTGATAGTGGTTTGATATGAACTTTCCCCACCACACCCAGCCTGACTCTTTCCTTGATCACCCTCGATCTCCCTGCACACCGCCATCCTTGTGGGGAAGAATTCCCAACTACTTCCCTGACGTTTTTAAAAGCAGGAATGGTCATTCCTGCTGCACAACATTCTTACACCAATCATTTAGATTTCCATTTTGAAACAAAGAAGCAAACAGAAAAAGCCCCTAGTTAAACTTGGTGAGTCTAGAAAATAACGGCTTGAAAGGTAATTCTAGTGTAAGGGGAGAAGGGGAAGAGAGAGCAGAGAAGGATGAGAGTGACAGGCACCAGACATACCTTACACATCAGTGTAACCCTTTAATACAGTTGGTGACCCCCAGATGCATTTTTGTTGCCACTTTCTAACTGTAATTTTGCTTCTGTTATGAATCATAATGAAAATATCTAGCATGCAGGATATCTGATATTCAACCCCCAAAGGGGCTGAGGCCCGCAGGTTAAGAACCACTGACACACAGGTTTGGCAAACAAGTTCAATAATCATTTTTAAGAGACTTCCATTAGAAACTGTAAAAACTGAAAAAAAAAAAAACCAACACAACTTTTACCCAAGAAAATAATTGTTAAACTACACCAATGCATCTCATTTAATAGAGTGCTTGCCTAGAGTGTGGGAGGCCTGAATTCAAAGCCCGGCACCACACAGACCAAGCATGGTCTGCAAGCCCAACATGCCTGCAACCCCAGCAATCAGGAAGTAGACACAGAAAGATCTGGAGTTCAAGCTCATTTTTGGTTGAATAGAAAGATTGAGGTCAGTCTAAAGTATGTTAGATAAACATCTCTCTCTTTCTTTCTCTCTCCCCCCTCTCTCTTTGAATAAAACAAAACAGGAGATAATCCTTCCATGCTGACAAATGAGTCTCTTCTCACCTTTTCCTTTAAAATGGCTGCACAGGAAATATACTCCAGGCAACTGAGTGCCAATGACCACTGCGTCAATGCTGAGATTAAGGCCTTTGCTAAGAAAGTAGCTCTAAAGCGTGCACACCAGGGCACTTGTTCTGCTCTGAATGCATTTATAATTAGCAGCGGGCATTTGCTCCTGAAGAGCTTGCCAAGCCCTTGGTGTGTTTTCACCAGTAGAGTGCCGTTCCCATGGATGCATCTGCTTTGCTCAACACACGCTTATTTCCTTCTTTCCTTAGTGCACACCTGTGTGTCTATGTGTGTGTCTGTGCTTGTCCCTGTGTGTGTGTGTGTGTGTGTGTGTGTGTGTGTATCTGTGTGTGGCTGGCCGAGTGTGTATGTGTGTGTGCATGTGTCTGAGTGTCTGTCTGTGTATGTATCTGTCTGTGTGCACATGTGTGTATGTGTCTGTGCATTTATATCTGTATGTGAGAGAGAATATGTGTGCATGTGTGTGTGTGTGTTATACATGAAGAGAGACAGAGGCAGAGTGATACAGATATGGAGTTTGATTTAAGTAATCTCTTAATAAGAAACCATGAAATAGTGTCTTCACAATCAATGGCCAAATGCATATATTTAGTGAAATACACAGACATACCTCTCTCCATATACAAAATAAACCAACTCCAAGTGAATAGCTAAACATAAAAAAGAAACTACAAAAGTTCTAGTATAAAATATATGAGATTATAATTACAGTCTTGAGGACAAAAAAAAATCTTTTTAAAGCAAATAATAAAACTCCAAAGGCAGGGTTGGGGATTTAGCTCAGTGGTAGAGTGCTTGCCTAGCAATGGCAAGTGCAAGGTCCTGGGTTTGGTCCTCAGCTCTGGAGAAAAAAAAAAAAAAAAAAAAGGACAAAATAACAAAAAGACCAAAAAAAAAACAAACAAACAAACAAACAAACACACAAAACACACAGGCTACAGTTTTCTGTACAAGTAAACACACCATAAGCATGTGAAAAAGCAACAAAAATCTCAAAAGAGTTAAAAGCAGGACTCTGTGAGATATTTGCATACATATCATCACAGCAGCATTATCTATAACATTCAAATATTGGGAATAATCAAGATCATCCATAGATGAAATAATGCAGAGGTGGTATATCCATATAATGGAGTATTATTCAACCTTAGAAAGGAAGGTAATGCTGAAACTCCTTACAGTATAAATGAAACTTGATGACATTATGTTAAGTAAGAGAATCCAATTAATAAAAAAAAAAACAAGTGCTGTATGACTCCACTCATACAAAATTCTAATGTTCATATGCCTCTGTACTATAGCAGAAAATAGAATGGTAGCTGGTAGGCATAGAGAGAAGGAGGAGGTATTGGGTATGGGGTAGTTGGCAGGGGTCTGTGGTAGAGGAAAGAAAGGATATTGGGGTGGATACAAAGTCTCAGTGCTACAAGATGAAGAAAGCTCTGGAAATAAGTTGCAGTAAGGGCTATGCAACAGTGTAAACACACATAGTGCCACTGAAATGAGAACTGTAAAAGGTGAAAATGATTGTTTTGTATATATACTTTAGCACACTATAGAACACTCAAGTGTGGAGAGAAATGCCGCAATATTGTAACAAGAAAGTGGAATCAATCGTAATATTCTGAATACTCTAAATATCTTGTTTAATATCCAAAATAGTTGCTGCATATCAACAAAAGGACAAATATACAACCATAAAAAAGCCAGTTCATGAACTTCAAATTGTCAATAAATAATCAAATGCCTCGAAAATTCTGGTAGCTAGAAAATTCAAACTAAAAGAATAATAAATACAATTGTTCATAAGGTTGATAAGGCTTTTTAAAGTAATAAAGGATAAAGAGTTTGCAATAAAAGGGTGCATATGAGTGGAAACTTTATATAAATCAGTGTCTAGATTTACCTCTAAGACTGGAAGGAATTTTAATCTGTCACAATACATACATATACGTTTTAACACATAAATTCCATTTCTGGTTCTCTATCTTACAAAACTTGTTTTTAAACTACACAAACACACACACACACAATGAAATGCCAAAACCAGAAGTAACTGGAAGGTGGGAGTGTCTGATGCCTCTACAGGATGACACCTAATGAGGCTCACATGAGAGGAAATGAAGAAGACCTACAGGTCAGGCACAGGGGACCAGTTCCATAACCCTTGAGAAAAGGAATGGCACAGTACGTGCTGCAAACTGTGTTGTTTATGACAGCTGAGGCTGCGAGGAGACACATGCCTGCCGTGAGCAGAGCGGCTTGTGTTGCAGCATGCAGCACAGCAGTGATGCTGCAAAGCAGTGCAGAAACACTTGTCACAGAATGAAGACCCAGACAAAATGCTGCAGAAGAACTTGTACTGAGTGGATCTGTTTACACAAGGGATAGAAATGCACCACATTCCTCTGTCTGTCTTGCTGGAGCTATGATGGTATGTGGCCGTGGAGAACACAGGTAGGCATTCTGTAAACTTGAGCGTGACTGCAGTTTGTGCGTAGCCATCCCACGCGTGAAATTATTTTAAGACTCTGATATTTCAGTAAATTGAACCAAAAAGGACTTATAAATGCTAACAGGAAAAATTAAGCTGGACTGGATGTAAGATGGGTTTTCATTTTTAACTTTGATAACTCTTATATTGTATTGCATAGCTGGTAAAAAACAAAAGGGGAGGGTTAATAAAATGCTAAATTGCTTATTAAATGCTCCCCAGCATTCAATATGCTTGCTGTTTTTCTACTGCTACCATCACCATCCCCTTTGGTCGGGTGTCCTTTACACTGGCCGGGTTTTATGTTAGCTTGGCACAAGCTACAGTCATGTGCGAGGAAGGAATCTCAATGGAGGAAAGTCTTCATAAGATCAGGCTGTAGGCAAGCCTGTAGGATATTTTCTTAATTAGTGATTGATGGGGGAGGGCCCAGCTCATGGTGGGTGGTGCCATCCCTGGGCTGGGAGTCCTGGGTTCTGTAAGAAAGCAGGCTGAGCAAGCCATGGGGAGCAAGCCAGTAAGCAGCCGCCCTCTGTGGCTTCTGATCAGCTCCTGCCTCCAGGTTCCTGCCCTGCTTGAGTTCCTGTCCTGACTTCCTTCAGTGATGAACAGTGATATGGAAGCATAAGCCTAATAAACCCTTTCCTTTCCGAGTTGCTTTGGTCATGCTGGCTCATCACAGCAGTGGTAATCCTAAGACACCCTTGTTTGAGGACACCTGCACAGCTGCAGACGGTGGCTCAAGGTTAAGGAAGCCACAAATCCCACATTGGGATGCCCAGCATAGAAACCGGGATTCCAAACAGCTTTGCCACATGACACTGGACTGACTTGGAGTCTTCTGTATTTGTTCATCTAGAAAATGGACAGGATTGCAGCAAATGAGGGTGTGTAGACAGAAGATAAACTAGAAAAATGCAATTGTCCTATGAGCTGATTGGCCATCTTGAGAGGATTTTGTGCTCTGAAAATCTGCGTTCACAATTGTGTGGAGCATTAGTAAAGAAGAAAAGTACAGATGCTGCAGACATGAGATGGAGTGAATGATGGAGCCCACCGGAAGCGTCCAAAAGCCTCACATACAGGCTCTGGTTGTGAACTGAAAGTGAAAAGAAAGGCAGAAAACTTGGGTACTGCTTTTGAAGGTAATTATTTAGCCTGATTCTCTGTATATAAAGACAATTCGCATACATACATACACACACGGTGTATGTATATACATTTGCATATGTATGAAAATATACATGCATATACACACATAATAGATAGATAGATAGATAGATAGATAGATAGATAGATAGATAGATAGATAGAT